CAGTATTTGTTTTCTGCCACACGGAGCTTTTTAGATAATAACTTTTCCCTGTTTTAAACGTCACCACCATCCTTAACACCGGCCCCTCTGCTGATCCTTGGACTGATGCTTTTTTTTTAAGATATTCTCTAACCAAACCCCTGAGGTCTTCAGTGTACACTAATTAGGTGACTTCTAAAGTCAGGTGTGTGTTTTTGATTCAATTAAATTTAAAGTTTAAGAGAAAAAAAAACATGTATCAGTAAAAATAGAAACAACCAAATATAATTTTCCCTTTTACTATTACACACTACTTTGTGGTAATGTTTCACATTGAAGCCCTTTATATTTTATAGAAGTTTGTAGTTGTAATTTGATAAATATGAAAAACTGTGACGGAGTGCAAATCCTTTTGAAAGCCACTATTCCAGGATGACCCGGTTAGTGGTAGCGCTGCCTCATAAACTGTCATTCTGCATTTATTTATGTTTCTGAACTCGGGGCATTGGTTTGGCTTTTTGTTTGTGCTCTCAGCCATCCCGCTCTGTTGGAGTCCAGGACGGCATGGGAAGGTCAGTGTTTTGCAAGATGCAAGATGTTTTTTTTTATAGTTACGAGTAGGGCTGAATGATTTTTCTCATTTTTTCAACCGATATTGCGATATTTTCTTTTTAGTTGTCATGACCTTGAAAGCTTGCATGTCTAAAATCCATTGTTGCAGGATGTGCAGAAGTGCTTATGTTTGTTTATGCATGGATATTTTCTCCTCTGCATAGCTGCCAACCCCCTTTAAGTGAATTACTGCCACCTGAGTCAAAAATCGTCTTACTCCTGTTAAATGTAATGTGACCAAAACTAAGTGCCTCTGCAATAGGGATGGGAATCGAAAACTGGTTCCTGTTCAGAACCGGTTCCATTTGATCCAATTCCATTGCACCGTTAGGCAGCTCCCTTAACGATTCTCTCAACAATTCCAGGCAGCAGCCTAGCGCTTCATGTCACGTTTTTTACGCAAGTTACGCACACGGCATTCAGTAAGCAAGTACGACGTGACCAGGCGTAAGTCTAGAAGAGCAAATAAACCAAAATGGCGTCCCATCGGGTAAACCGATCGAAGGTTTGGCGTCATTTTAAGGAAGCGAAAGATGCCAACAAGGTGCTTTGCAATCATTGCAAAGTGGTAATAAAATCCGCGGGAGGAAATGCATCTAACATGTAGAAACACCTGCGCACACAACCTGGCATACATTTTAACGAATGCTGTGTTTTTGATGCTTCCGGACAGAAGCTAAAGCTTCTGCCAGGCAACTGGTGGCAAGTAGATAGTTTTATATGCTACGAAGTTGCTCTGCGAGTTCAGGGAGCGAGAGAAAGGTGACGCTCATGTATTTAAATCAGGGGGAGATGAGTTTATTTCCCGAAATTGTACAGTAATGCTTTTTCATTAAACGGAATCGATAAGAGAATCGAATCATTTCACAGAATCGATAAGGGAATCGGAATCGTGAAAATCGTATCAATTCCCAACCCTACACTGCTATTTGAAAATTGTGTTTATATTGCAAATATAATAATTTACTCAGCCCTTACTTTTCATAGGCATTCCTGGTAAAAAAAAAAAAAAATGAATGCCTTTCTTCAAAGCAGCAGCAATTCATATTCAAGATGATCTTTTGACCTCCTTCAGTTGGCCTGAGCTGGAATAAGTTATGTTTTTGCAGATTATTGTATTTCTGCATCATAAATCTAACAACTGACTGCTTTTATTTAAAGCGACAATATTTCTATTATTTCAAAAATAGGTCTTTACTGTTATAGATCCTTGTCGTGTTGTCTAAACAGTTTTTTCTGTTGTGTTTTTTTTCTTCTAGAACAAACTCTGGCTATATCACAAACATGCTATTCATATTAATAAGTTTAAAACAGTGTGACCTTTAAAAAAGAATGAGTTATTGTTCCCCCACAGGATAATGCTAACACCAAAAAGTTTTTTCTCATTTAAATCAAAAACATTTAAAAAATTTTTTTTTGTTCTGAGGGAAAAGTGCAGTCGCTCTCTTTCTACCAAGTGACAGGCAGTAACACAGCAACAGGTGGGAAGGAGAAGGGAAGTTTTAAGTTACTCCGTGTACAAATAGACTAAATCTAATAAAATAAATCTCATTAAAAGGACCTGAAACTTTAGCTACACTACGATTGCAAATCAGTTTCCAACTCCTTAAAGGTTTGGAGCGTAACAGGGCCAAGCCAGAGCACTGATGAGCATATTTGCAGGAATAAGTGTTGAAGCATGTGCTCATGTTTGGTTAAAAAAGGGTCAACCATGTGTGGGCGTGAAAACTAAATGTCTTACTGTCGTCTCTCTGCGTTATGAATAAAGAGTGAGCTAATGTTGTACACGCTGACCTATTCTCGTCTCCTCGCTCACTTCCTCACTAAAAGGGTGACTCTGCTTTGCTTCTTGAACTCTTTTGGGATTACAGCAGGAAAGATTTGGGCCTGTGTTTTTCTTGGCACAGGAAACTTTTTTTTTTTTTTTTTCCTGGCATACCACATTAGCATGGCATAAAATAATGTGTCACTGATTTAAAAAGAAAAGGAAAAAGATTTGGAAAGGGTAGAACTGGGAAAGAAATGGATCTCCTAACCCTTCCAGCTGGTTAGCAGCAACCCTACAAATTATTATACATCTGATGACATATAAGGAGTTTCTAATCCTTATAAAACTCATTTAAGTTACAGAATTAAATCTTCAAATTCTACATCGATTCCCCTTTTGATAATAAATCATCTTTACCTATGCTATAAATTTCTTAGCGCGAACACTGATGTTTTGCTTTGTTTATGCAAACATCATAAACTAATAACAGTGGACAAATAATTGCTCAATAAACAGTGGATGATAAGAGGACATTTGATTGGATTATGTATTCATTGCGTACAGATCATCAATCTGCTCAAGTCCAGAATACAGCCAAGCTGCCTAATCTGAGCTATTTTTCCTTTATATATTTTCTAAAACTGAAACAATAAATTTAGATTACTGTTGATTATTCGATTATTGAAATAATCATAAGCTAATTTAGTAATCGATTAATCGTTAACTGGAGTATAAAGACCAAAATATGCCTTTAGCTGACAGAGAAACCCAATTAGAGCAGTAATTGTTTTTTGTGTGTTTTTTGTTTATTTTTTTATGATTTTGGTGTAAACATTTTGCATTTAGGGTAAAAACAAAATTTCCTCTGTTAATATTTTCTATCTATAAAAGTGGAAAGTTTTACTTTAAGGAATATATTGCTTTCCCGTTATTGAAAATCCTCGCCTTATGTGGGATGGCGATGTTTTTGCGTTTTTTAACTTTTTACCGTTATGTTCTGCTGCGTGTCTTTTGCATTTCCTTGCTGATTTGACCCATAGGATTGAAGAGCATCTTTGATGTGTTTCTGTTCTTGGTGCTTCCTCCCTTCTGTTTAATTAGGGACAAGCTAGTGTTGAAACTTTCTGATGACAGAAAGTTTGTGTTCCACTGGATAGTTTGAGGTACTGTTGCAATTTTCCTTCAAGAGTAGCAGGATACTGGGAGATGTTATATATGAAAGTTAAAAAGTATGTATAAAAGGTGTAAGGTGTATAAAAGATATGTTTTTCAGTGTAGTCTTTATATTAATGAGAAAAATTTAGTGCTCAACCTAGTTTGTTGAACTACAGAGTGAATCTTCTTTATTTTTATTGAAGAATCTAAAAAAACACCCTAACCCTAACCTAGATTCAGAATTAAAAGGCGCTTTAGCCGCAGACTTCCTGTCCTGCTCCTCTTTGTACCCTGCTGACTTTGTTTTGGCTGGCAGGACGGTCCAAACCTAAACTATTCCTTGGCTTATCTCCAGTAATAGGACAATCAGCCACTATTACAACCATTATATGGAGCCTAATGAACAACAGTGGCTGGTCCTATTAATCCACAGATCAGTCTTAGTCTGCCGAGGCTGCAAAGAAAATCCACCTGTTGCCCCTTGTGTTCGTTATTTGTGTATATGTGATCTTTGAGACGTGTTTGGAAAAGAAACGCATGACACAACACTTGATTATTTCATAAAAAGACATTTCTCTTATTTCGTTTCAGCTCTTCAAGGATAGTCGGGTATGTGAAGATCATTCTGGACAACTGATGCAAAAAACCGTGAGGAATTGGACTGGTTAGTAACCCTTTAGGGCATGAGAAACAGGAGCTTCACCGTGAAAAAAGAAGCTGAAATCTATGTGTGTGATATATTTCCTACCACAACACAAACTGAGCACACGCATCGCTGCTGAAACCCTCGGCACTGTTTAGACTATCCATTCCTCTTGTCATGAGGGTACGTTATAGAAAAAGGCCCATATCACCTTCTTTCACATCGCCATGGACCGGAACAAACGCAACTCCATTGCTGGGATCCCAACATGGCCGGAACGCCTCCAGGAGGACAGGGACGGGCCTGGAGGCGAAGGGAACAGTGAAATGGGCCCGCCTTCACAGGTCAGGATTTAAACCTTTTGTTTTCATATTTGTGTATTTGCTAGAAGAATGCAAACACCTGATAATAGATTTCTCTTTCTTTTTTAATCATTTTAAGTCTCAATAACTATATTTCCCCCTTCAGTAGAGCCTGTCTTTTCGGTTGAAGAGAAAGGGTCCTATCTGCTTCAACTCACAAAAATCTAATATAGATTAAATGGAAAACAAACTGCTATAATGATCTAAATTGAATAATGTATGAATTTTTTTATAATTTTGTGTAATTGTACTAAGTAAAGTGAAAATTGATCAATATAGAGGTTTGCAATCAGCTTTAATGTGGCTCTTTCATCCTTTCACTCTGGCTCCTGGACCAAACGTGAAACACAAAAAAATCTGTTGATTTACTTATTTTCACTGAGGTGGGCTATCTGTTTTTCCAAAGATATTATAATCATAATATACGTTGCATCATTTTAAAGGAAAAACAAAAAATTTAAGTTTTTATTCTTACATTTTTCCTCTTTTTTTTCTTTCTTTTTTTTTACTGGAAATGGAATAAGTAGTATTGAGTTTTTTTTAGCTACTGTTGCTTTTCCATCATCTTGAATCATTGGTCGTCAACAGGGTATTTCTTTCTCTTCTCATCCACTTACTGGATGTTTCCTACTTTTGGAACTTACTTAGTAAATTGCAGAGAGGTTTTTTTTTTTTGGAGGGAAATCCCAGTAGATTGGGCATTTTTAGCTCTAATGGCCAGCTCTCATTTGAAGTCACTTAAATCCCCTTCTCTAAGCTTGAAGTTGTAGGGAAGTCATATTTAAACGTCAAATCATTCTGGCTTAAACATGTATATAAATGTACTCTTTATCAGACGATACTGTCCCAAAAGTTAGGCCAGTTAGTTATACATCAGCTTGTACATCAAAATTCGGCCAATCATATATCAATGCTCATCTGTCAATCAATTTTTTTCAGTCAAAGCATCTTGATTCATATGTCGCAGCTAATATATGGTTTAACAATGGTTAAATTAAGAATAATTTCCTTTCCCATTGAGTTCAGTCCCAGTGTACACGGGGATGGACGTCTGTGTCTTCAGCAGGCGTAGAGCTAACAGAACTGGCAGCTTTGCGAGGCAAGGGCTCAAACATGTACGGCTGAACAAAAAGGTTTTCTCATCAACTAAACTATAAAATGATAAATTCTAGGCCTAAACAATTTCGTCAAAAATGAAAGGTGATATAGGTGACAAATATGTAGACAGGCTTCAATATTTCTGGCTCATATTTCTGCTTTTCCTCTTTCTATTGCTCCATATATTTGCATGTGCTCGGATTTGCCCCCTAAAAACATCCGCAGCACTTATTGGGAATCTGTTAGACGGATGTCAGAAATATCCATGTTGGCGTCTGCCTCTAAAAACCCATTGGTCAATCTTTAATATAGATATTTCATTGTTTTCATGACCTTGAAAACTTGCCTGTCCACAGTGTTAGAACTTTACTGTTACTTTTATGTGGAAAAGTGCTTATTTCTATTCGTATGCACAGATCTACACACTAGCAGAGACTCTCTGCCTTTCTGAGGGGTGACTTAACCACTTTAAGGGGCTTTAAGGGTTTTACTTAAGGGCCTGAGTGATGAAATCGGTGTCTTACTCTTTTTTTTGGTTTTATTTTGTTAAAAATTAGATCCTTTGCTTTGAAAGTTCCATTTAGTTAAACTGTCATTATATTGCAAATGCATTTATTTCCCAGCCCTAATGGATTTAGGATAATTTTTCATATGGGAAAAAACATTTTTTATCTGCTAAAACAATAATATGGAAAAAACATTTAACCTCCAGTTCATGAATTTCTATTGATTTTGGACATTTTAAAGTTTATCATTAAGCAGTAATAAAGTTTGGAATTCTGAGCATGAGCATTGTGTCACGTTTAACCTGTTTGTTCTTGTTTTATCCAGATGGGCAGGGTGTGTCCGTCCTCCTACAGAGCCCTCATCAGTGCCTTCTCGTGTCTGACACGCCTTGATGACTTCACCTGCGAGTGGATCGGCTCAGGGTTTTTCTCTGAAGTCTTCAAGGTGGGTGAGATCTGAAATTACCCCCCTAGTTAACTCCTCTGATGTTTCTTTTTTATGATGCTGAACCTACAAATCCTTTGGTTTTTTTCCTCTAATTTGTTTTCACACATTATGACCCCTTCTACACAGTCACTAAAGTGGTCACAGCCTCTACTTTTCATTTCTTATCGATGACAGAATATCATAAAAAAACAAGCAGGGAAGTTTAACCCTTTTTAAAAATTAAGAAATATTTGTTTGCATTTGATTGGACCCTGTCAAGTTAAGATGGTTAAGTGAGCTTTAAGCTATCTTCACCATCTTCCATAACCATCCTTGCTTTGACGTTTTGAGGTCAAGTTAGGCGCCACTTAAACACCGCCTACCTCCCAGGCATATGACCGGAGGTCACTCAGACACTTTCGCAATTGCAAGCTCTTTTTTACAAAACACTGTTTACTGGACAGTATTTTTTAGTCCTAAATAATACAGCTGTGCTTGAAAGTTTACATACCCTTCCATTAAAGAAAACTATTAACTCCCACTTGTAATTAAACAAACACAAAACTGAAAACAGAAATAATTATAACAAAAATACTAAATCGTAATTTAGTAAAATGAAAAGAATTCTTAAAAAAAAAATGTTCATGACAAATAGAAATACTTTGCTAATGAACGGTGAACATAGCTGTCAACAGGTGCAGGAGTCTGACTGAATGTTTGCTGAACTTTACAGAAATCACCTGATTTCAGTGATAATTGCCTCAAAATGTTGCTCAACAAAATGTTAGTTCAGGAGCTCCACTTCTTTGCTTATTTTCTTTATATGTGGATTGGTATGTAAACTTTTAATTGTGTATATATGTGTGTATACGGTATATTTATTTTTTGTAATTTTCAGCTAAATGTTTTGGAGGGTAACAATTTAAAAACTTTGTTGTCCTGCCATTAAAAATGTAGGTCTATATATTGCTTAGTGCCACTGAGTGTTTAGCTGGATCCATGTGCTTTGGACAGTTGGACGTAAGCCCCTGGCACATGGGTGTGCAGGTGTCGCAGTGGTTAGCGCGTATGACCCATGTACGGAGGCCTTTGTCCTCAACGTAGGCGAGCCGGGTTCGATTCCGGCCTGTCTCTTCCCCTCTCTCATACCCCCTTTCCTGTGTTCCAGACGACAGCTAAACGTGTTTCTAACGTATAATGCTTTATTGGCAGCGTTTTGGTATGAAGGGGGTTCACAGTCAGTCAGTTCTCCTCCAGAAAGCGAGTGTGATGGATCCTCCATGCGTTAACACCCACGGCCACGACCAACAAACTTCCCAGACATGTCGCTGAATCTTCTGCGACTACAAGCCCTCTTTCTTTCTTTTACTCTTTGTTTATATATTACGTTTTTTAGTAGTGGTTGGTAAACAGCAGCTAGGTTAATACCGCGATTAAAGACGTCTTTTTATGCAGGTGGGGTGCCTCAGGCGCATTGATGCCCCCCTCAGGACACTGGCTTGTAGGGTTGGGAATTGATAAGATTTTAACGATTCCGACTCCCATATCAATTCATTAGAACGATTCGGTTCCTTATCGATTCCGTTTAATGAAAAATTATTACTGTAAAATTTAGGGAAATAAACTCATCTCCCCAGATTTAAATAAACAAGCGTCTGCTTTCTCTCGCTCCCTGAACTGTGGAGCAACATTGTAGCAACTTCCTAGCATCCAATATTTGTTAAAAATTTCGTTGCATACAATAGTTAGAATCATGTAAGAATTCCAGCTACCAGTAGTTCTAATTAAACATGCTATCAATGAAGGGTTGGATTAACGAGAAAGGCACACTCCCTTAATAACCACAAAGAGTAGAAGGAAATTGGTTTATTTCCAGAAATGACATATGATTTACTAGAAACCACATTAAGCACAGCTAGTGATATAAAACTAGCTACTTACCACCAGAGTTGCCTTCCATGCTGGTCGTAACTTTAGCTTCTGTCTGGAAGCATCAAAAACACGGCATTCGTTCAAATGTATGCCATGTTGTGTGCGCAGGTGTTTCTGCACGTTGGATGTATTTCCTCCCGTGGAAGTAATTGCCACTTTGCAATGATTCCAAAGCACCTTGTTGGTGTCTTTCTCTTCCTCAAAATGCAGCCGAAATGAAGCCCCAATCTTTTTACCTGATGGGGCGCCATTCTTTTTTTTTGTTGGTTTTCTAGACTTACATCTGGTCACGTCGTACTGGCTTACTGAATGCCGTGTGCGTAACTTGCGTAAAAAATGTGACCTAAGTCATGCTACCTAGAGCGGCTCTGGTGCTGCCTGGAATTGATAAAAGAATCGTTAAGCGAGCTGCCAAACGGTGCCATGGAATTGGAACACACGGAACCTGTTCTAAACAGGAACCGGTTTTTGATTCCCATCCCTACTGGCTTGTGTATGATTTCACGGGCATTACACTTAAGTTATGAATAAGTTAGGCTGTGGTTGGACATAAGTTCTGGACTCGTTTTGAATACTATTTATATATATATATATATATGCCCAAAATTGAAAAGACCCATAGAAAATGTAGCGTATGCCAGCATTTTAGAAGATTATGTGACATCTGGAATACGCTGGCTAAATCGTCAAGTTGTAACAGGAGGTTAAGACTGAGTTAGAAGGGAACACCTGATCCACAACTGGGTCTGGTGTTTATAAAGGATGGGTGTTAGCATTATAGGTCCTCCACCATACCTAACAGTGAGCCTCATTGCAATGTCTCTTTCATGAGCCAAAGAAATCTTATCAGATTGCATGGTATCTTGGATCTTGGTTTAAACAAAGCATGTTGTCCATATTAAAATGGACAACCAGATGGAAACCAAATCCTCACAAAAAATGCTCTTTTGACAAAAACCCCCCAAAAAATACAAACAAAAAACACCTTCACTCTAGAATGTCTCATTCCAATACCTAAGACCTGTAGAAAACCTATAAAGTGAATTCATGACCGAGGACTCAACTCTGTTTACACTAACCTTTTGTTATGTTATAGAAGACTGAACTATTTACAAAGATTCCACAAATTTTTGGATGATATTTATGTCCTGAAGTTTGGAAATATGGGTGTTTTCATCAGCAAATTAGGGGAACTGAAAAAAAGCAGCTTACAGTTCACATGTGTGGCATAAAACAGAAAAAGCACTGTCAATTAAAAACAAAACTACTTGTTAATAAGGAGTTTCCCCTCACTGAATGTAGTCAAATTCAAAACTTTGATTTAAAAAGAAAAACACTTTGAAAGTTTCCTTACACCAATTGTCAAGCCGATTTTGGAGATGTGGACCATGTAGATGTAATAGAGGCCCTATTTAAAGAATATAACATTTCATAGCAACAAACAGCGTGTTATTGTTACTCTTAGAGTGAGACATTTAAGACCTAACTTTTATGTTATTCCTTAAATTCCCTTTGTAAGGTAAAATACCCACATGATTTCACTAAAAATAGGTGTTCCACCTTGGTGTCATGGGAAATTTCTCTGACTAATGCATTCATTACTGTAAGAAAAGAATCTGCATAGTGACAAGAAAGCAAAAAGGAATGAAGATGGACACTGTGTTTAGTTAAAATGCCTGCATTCAAAGGAGAATATAGGATGAAAGCATGAGCTAAAAGGAAAAAAAAAAAGGGAACAAAGGAGAAAACCCTCTGATGTTTAGAGCTGGGGTGAGAAGACTGTTGAGGGAGATGAAAATGAGGGTTTTAGATGAGGTTTTAGGTGTCCTCCCAGTACAAAGGAAGGCATAGAAGGAGATGAAGAGGAGTTTGTGGAGAAGAGGATGGTCGGATCTTGGATTTAGTAGGGTGGAAAAAATTGGAGGAGAGGGTTTGCAAGGGGGGAGACAAAGGGGGTTAAGTTTTCCATTTGAAAGGAGAGCCGACAGCGGTGGCGGAGACATCAGAGGAAGATGGGGAAGAAAGATATTACTGCCCCTGCTACTACTACTGCCGGCAATGATTAGGATTGGGCATCGAGGTTTGTTTGAAGCAGAAGAGGGAGAATCAGGAACACATGGAAACAGAACAGGGGGGGATGTGAGGAGCGAAGAACTGGGGGTCGCAGGAGGATAGAGGGATATGGGGGAGGAGGCCCTCAGAGGAGTGGCCATCTGTTGTTTCTGCTGCCCTGTGGTGGAGGCTGTCCCCTCTTATGGCCGAGCCCCCGCGTTTGAACTTGAACAGAGAGATTTTTGTCTGTGGATCAGACCCAGAGAGAGAGAGGGACGCAGATACAGGAATCTATGATTATATAAATCCAAATCCATGATCCTGTAGCTAATGGTGATAATCCTTCACCTCATTTTCATAATAAAAAAGACATCCCTTATTTATGTTTGTTCTACTGTCCATAGCACTTGGTGCATGTTAACTTTGTATGGCTGTAACTTCTGCTTTCTGTTGCACATTATGCCACCTACTCGCTGTGTTACTCTGCCCATTTGAGGAAGATATTAAAATGATCTTTTTTAGATGTCGTTAGCAAAGCCGTTGCAGTAAGTCTGACCTCACTGGCTGCCTGAATTAGCAAGTAGAAGTGGTTATTTTCCCTTCATAATATACTCACAGGCCTCTTTATTAGGTACACCTCGCTAACAAAGTTTGTGGTGCATTCATTTCAACAAAGATTCAGAAAAATCCTTAAAAAATTGGTCTGAATGGACACAATGGTTGCAGATTTGTCAGCTGCACTGTAATGCAAATCTCCCTTTCTACCACATCTACCAGTGGTGTTGTATTGGTTAATGGTCTGGCAATTGTGTGTTTACTTTTATGCAAATTAGAGACATCTTTATCTAAAGCGACTTAGAAATAAGGATGTAATAATTCAGTTAAGAATAAAGCTAAATAAAGTATGGGCCTTTAGGTCACAGTTGACATATCGTCCTGTTTTAGAAATGAGTCTAAGATGTTTTGATTTTTGTAAAATGATGTGGTGCTTAGCTGAAAGTTGCCATCAGAAGATGAGCCGACTGTGGTCATAAAGTAATAAATCTGGTCAGCAGCCTGTCAGGCTGTTGATTCCAGCAACGCTTTGTTTACACCATGGGGCCTAGCATGTATCCAGAAAATACCTTTCCCACCATTGCAGTTAATTGTTGATACATATAAATAATCAAGTAATAATCAAATAAATTAATCATTGTCTATTAAAGTTATATTTGTCATCTACATTTAACCCTCCCTTAGAGAGCAGTAAGCTGCTTTACAGCAGCAAGAGAGCGTTGTGGAGCTAAGCGTCTTCTGAACAAGCTGCCTCCCCAGGACCCACCAGGCCAATGCTCTGAATTAATTCATTACTCAATACTACTGTTAAATCATAACCATATTTTTCAATTTCTCTGCTGCTTTATCCAAGCATACCATGGCATGGAAAACCAGTTGATTGCATCGACTCGACATCAGTCCAGCTGAGATGGCAGTTTTTGTTTGTTTTTGGATATTTTTTGAAAATTAGTTTTTAAAGTCGTAGAGAAGTCATATTTAAATGTCAAATCATTCAGGCTTAAACATGTGTATAAATGTACTCTTTATCAGACAATATTGTCCCAAGCCTTAGCAGTATTGAGCTTTTTTAGCCACTGTTGCCTTTCCATCATCTTGAATCTACTCGGGCATCAACAGCGTATTTTTTCCCCCTCTCATCCACTTACTGGTTGTTTCCTACTTTTGGACCTTTCTTTGTAAACTGGAGAGAGAATAATTTTTTCCCCCAAAGGAAATCCCAGTATATCAGGCACTTTCAGCTCTCATTTGAAGTCACTTTCTCTAAGCTTAAAGTTGTAGGGAAGTCATATTTAAATGTCAAATCATTCTGGCTTAAACATGTATATAAATGTAATCTTTATCAAACAATATTGTCCCAAAATTTAGAAAATTTCTATTAAAAAAGAAAAAAAATCCTGTCTTAAAATCTGTTTTTTTTTCATTATTTTTATGCAGGCCATTTAGTTATACGTCATCCTGAACACCTAAATTCGGCCAATCATATATCACCGGTCATCTCTCAATCAAATTTTTTGGTCATAACGTCATGATTCAAATGTCGCAGCTAATATACGCAACGGTTGAAATGAGAAATAAGAATCATTTACTTTCCCATTGAGTTATCCAAGCTTGCCAGAGCTTGATGTATCTTAGCAGTATTGAGCAGCTGTGATTGGTCCTTGCTATGCCTTTCCAGCTGTCTGTGTGGTCGTCCTTCTCGATTCGGTGCGGGGGCGCGCCATTTTTTAAAAACCAAGGACCAACTACAATGGACAACTACGGCAAAAGGTTAATCAGTCTTTTTGCCAACTACACTAACAGAACCTGTTCCTCTTCAATGTCTAGCAACTCTAGATCCATCTCTGTGACCGTGACATCTTGCCGACACGCCATTGTTGTTTTGGAAGATAAACAATCCTGCTGGAGCCGCCGAAGTTCCCATGACCATCCACCAAAGTTCTTGAGAGTTCTTGAATAGGCTCCCACTTGAGCTTTGGCGGGAAACTGCCGTGCGTCCCTAGAAATTCCAGACCAACGGTGCAAAAGCATACCAGCAGCACTGGTTCGCGATCAGACCCAAGCGACATTTAATGTATGCGGTTGGAGAAGTATAATCTGCCATTTAGACGTCAACCAACCAGCCCCCTTCTCCACCTAAGGCTGTTCAACATTGCAACACAATAAGAGAGCAATCTTGCTCCAATGTATCCGCTAGCTTTTTATTCACATTTTAAATCATTGATTCTCAAAGTTGGGGTCGCGACGTCACTTAAGGTCCCAGATTAACCAGAATGTCTTCCTGACTTCTGCTGCAGAAAATTTAATAATAAGGTTTAGGGTTGAGTATTGGCATGGCTGTTGTGATGCGATACGTGTTGCAATACTTGGGTCACGATACGATATAACTCTATATTGCAATATTACAATTTATTGTGATATTTTTCCTCCTATCAAAATTTAAATATATATATAAGAAAGCCACCTCTGTACATGTTCATCAGATGATATTGATCTTTCAGTTATTTTGGTATCCGTGTTGTTTGGGGTTTGAGTCAGACCACGTCTTCCACTGTGACTGCCTCAACTACAGATATGGCGCTGCGCCACACAGCTCAGGGCTCCACAGCGCCATCTGCCAGAGTGGCGATGCAGAGGTAGCCTATTTTCTCTCAGTTTTAGGTAAAAATGTTTTGCTTAAAAAAATCGACACTAGGAACTAAAGGGTTGATATTATATCAGGCAGCCAAAAATCATGATATATTGTCAAAACGATTTTTCTCACACCCTTAATAAGACTATAATAATTTGTTGTGTGTGTTGTGTTTTCTATTATTTATTGTTGATGTGTATGTATATATTAATATAGTATATTTTTGTGCATTTAATGCTTTTATTCATGCATCACTCTAGAAGTTCTGCAAATATATATTCTTTTTGTAAAGAAAATATTATTTTCTTGCAAATGTAGCTATGAACTCTAATTGACTTTGTAAAAATGATTGAAAACCAAACCAATAGCGTTGGATAAGGGTCGACTTTGGATCCGTTTTGTGGGTCAGAAGCTGAAGAGTTTTGAGACCTCTGCTCTACATTATGTGAAGCTCCAAATTAGGTGATCACACATCACATGTGATTTTATCGCTTTAACGCTGCTGAGACAATGTGATGGCTGAGGTGATGGTTTCCAACTCAGATCTGCAGTAACAGAAATAAGTACATCACTGTCATTTCATAGCTTGGATGCATTTGCTTTTATTTTTGACATTTATGAAGTGTGTGCACCTAACTTTCAGTCTGCAGTGTAAGCTAGAGTGGTGTTGTATCAGATTAGTTTCATCTTGATCTATGAATGTTTCTGCTTCCAGGAAATGAGTAAGCAAGTGTAGGTCTGTCTGCAGCAGCACGTTCACGTTGAGAGCAGCTCTCAGTGGTTTTGCAGGTTGATATTTCCTATTTGCTCTAATGCATCAGTGAAATTAACTCAACTGCATTTTCAGTTCGATGACAAACTATTTGAAAGGGTGTCATAAAATGGGGAAGGCCCAGAAGAATTTACTTTAGTTTTGTTTAACCATTTACTAAGAATTAGAGAAAGAAAGTTTGTGTATTTATATAATTTTTTACAATGTTTTTGTATCTGTTAGTCAAATGGTATAAAATTTCCAAGTAGTGGTCGTGCTCTTTTAAGCCCAAACCTCAAAGCGTTTACATCTGTGATGATGCTGCAGTCTGCATCTCTCTGCAGTGACTTTCCCCCTCTGCACGGTGAAGTCCGGTCAACCATAGATAAATGACTGCTGATGCGACGGCTTTTTAAAAACCGAGACAGTCCTGATGCACAACAATACTAAATTGATTGTCGGCTTCTGAAAATGACACATGTACTTTGTCCTCATGGCTGGTCAGCAGTGTCTGACCTCATTTCGCTTGTTTGCGCGGCCTTCTTTATTCGCTTCCTCTGGTTTCTCAGTGCGTGTGTCAAATATATGTTTTGGAAGCTTTAATTACAGAAGAGTTTTTAACAAGCTACCAAGGACTTTTCTAGTCGTAACTCAAAACTGTAATATAACAGCAATTAGCAGCAGAGGCAGCAACAGTGAAATGTGTTGCTGTCAGAAATACAAAGTTGTAGGGAAATCATATTTAAATGTCAAATCATTATGGCTTTAAAATGTATATAAATGTGCTCTTTGTCAGACGATATGTATCCCAAAATGTAGAAAATGTTTATAAAAAAAAAAAAAAAAAAAATCCTGTGTTAAAATGTGTTTTTCTTTTTTTTCGTTATTTTTTACAGGCCAGTTAGTTATACGTCAGCTTGTACACCTAAATTCGGCCAATCATATATCAACGGTCATCTGTCAATCCCATTTTTTCGGTCATAGCATCTTGATTCATATGTCGCAGCTAATATACGCAATGCTTGAAATAAGAATCCTTTCCTTTCCCATTGAGTTCCATCCCAGTGTTCACGGGGATGAATGTCTGTGTCTTCAGCAGGCGTAGAGCTAACAGAACTGGCAGCGTTGCGAGGCAAGGGCTCAAACATGTACGACTGGAAGCCTTCTACACCAAACCAAGCTCCTGCCGCCCTGGTGTCTTCTTCAACAACATCTTCGTCCCCACTTTCCTCCTCTAAATAAAAACTGTATGATGGAGGAGACTCATCCACGACCTCCGACACAAAACTCTCCTCCTCTTGCATGTTTGCTCTGTCCATAGCGTTCCTTCACAGTGTTGTTTCTAAGTCACCAATTTAGTCCTACTTGGTCCCAATGGAATTTCCCATTGGGAACCTGCTAGCACTAAGTTGCTAACTGGTTAGCAAGATGCTTCAGACAAACCGGCCACAACCTAACTTGCATGCGAACCTTCCACCACAAAGGTCCCGCCCCCTTGATAAACAACCAATCACATTCACTTTATTCACTCGTGTAAAGTCGGGCACCACTAGGGAGAATTCGGAAACGCAACGGTTTTTCGTACGCATTTCAGAGTTTTGCCATAATCATCTGCAATGTTCTCTGTTTTGTATTAATTTTGTCTCGAGAAAAGGTTTATAAAATTTTATCACCTTGTGAAGATCAGTGTTTTAGAGCTTATTATGCACATGGTGCATCTGATTTAATCAAAAGGCGATGTGCGTTCTTTTTACCATGATTGTTGTTTGAATATTTCCATTATGAGGATCTGTTTTGACATGTCTGAATGTTTTTAAGCTTGAAATGAAACGAGTTTGCTTTTCAGGTACGTCACAAAGCTTCGGACCAAGTTATGGCTCTGAAGATGAACAAACTCAGCAGCAACAGGGCAAACATGCTGAGAGAGGTCCAGCTAATGAATCGACTCTGCCATCCAAACATACTCAGGTTTGTAATCTAGAAAATAACTAAGCTCCCCGTAATAAAACGGCTTCTAATGCCTTTCTCTTTTTATGTCTGCTTCCAAATCTCTGTTTTGCACTTTAGACCAACATTAAATCCCTATTAATGCCATTTATACCCAAAGTTCGGAAATAATGTGATTCTTTCCACTCTGTTGATGCGTTGTGTTGCTAATTTTCAGTATGATTAGAAAAACTGTAAATATCTGTTGGAATTAAAATGAATCATGTTTCTGATTTTTCTCCTTAAAAGTAACGTCAAGCCTGACACCAAACATTTCCATCATCTCTCCTCCTGTAGCTAATGTTTCCTTTGGGAAGGACTTGTACCAAACGCGCAGCTAGTTCCTACAGCATTGCAGCGGATGACTGAGGCTAAAAACCAGGACATTTTTCTTTTATGTGGAAGAAGGAAAAGGCTGTAAACGGCAACATTTTAGAAAATCTAATCATATATTTCGCTGGAGAAAAATGAAGATGTGTTTTTTTCTTATTAAGTCTCATTTAGGTGGAGCTAAAGGTATTGTTGAGCTATAGCATTTGTCGGCTGGATGATATTGAATCTCTGATCAAAACCCTAAAGGGAAAATAATCAGTTGCCTTAGATGATACTGTCTGCTGAGCCGAAAACTCTGGGTTTTCAGCCTGCTCCTTTAGTTCTCCACATAGTTTTATTGTAATGCTTGGAAATATGGTTGTGCTGAATCTTTCCTTCAGCCATTGGACCCAAACCTTCTCCTGATATGCAGGGAAAGCTCACTAGCATGCTGAGGAACAACACAAGAACCACTAGAGCTCAATTCTGTAATAAATACAGATGATTTTACAATCAAAAAAATCCTGCTCTATAACTGACACATTTAAACCTGACTTAGATTAACATCTGCCCACAGGATTAAACTTAATCCCTTTAGAGAAAAATTTAAATTCAGTCAAGACTTTGATTGAGCTACACTCCTTTTACGACCTTAATAAATCACACATAGTGGTGGCACCATGATGCTGTGGGGCGAACAATGATTGTTGGTGCTTTGCATGAGGTAAATGTTCAACTTCCTTCCAAAGTCCTCAGCTGGGTGATTGGATTGAGACAGCTGGGTGATTCAGTGATCCCAAACACAAATCCATACTGGCTAATATTTACCTGTATTGACACCATTTAAACTAAATTTTGCCCAAAAAACAACTATTCTGTTATGTATGTAGCCAGGATTATGACAGAAGTTTGTAAAAGGTGACAAAAACTGTAAGGTTTTTCTACCATTTGCTTGGAGACGTATATCAAATATTGGCGTGTTCTGTTCTATAGATATCTTTGCATTTGTAAAGAAATGTCCAAAAAATATTACATTTGTGAAATCAAAGCTATATTTTAACATTAATGTGTCAATAATGCCTGTAAACTCCTGGCCAGAGCAATGTTTGATGAATATAATTATTTATGCACGATTTGAGAATGTAATAATATCGCTGCTTGGCCCGATATTTACCAATATTATATCCTATATACATCCTTAACACTTCTGACACCATGACAAACGGACCATAATGCTGACATTACTTCTCTGCTTCAGGTAAACACCCACAATCCTTTGCTACATCGCTGTCACTGTCATAAAACCAAACATAAAACACACAAGCAGTTTGCTCTAAAAACGACAAAAACAAAAACAAAACTAGATGAAAATAAAAAAATTTCGCCCATCTTTATATATCTAATATGTTTGAGCATTGGCTGATTCGGATATTAATGCCGATATAATCTGCATCCAGCATGGTGAACCTAGACTCTACAATGCAACAATACAACAGCAGTAACTTGTGCAATGCATAATGTGCAATTACTATTTGATACCCAGTACAATAACTACATGTATAAATATCCATCTATATAGATACCCATGTAAACATCAAAATGTACATGTATTAAAAAAAACATGTGACACAACAACAAAAATCGGAATCTGACTGATGGTTTAGGACATGCTTGTTGTTTTTCTCCAGCGTTTGCTTTGAGCCTCTGTGTGTGGGGGGGGGGGAGTGTGTGGACCAAGCCTGCACATACATGCATAAATATTCTTCTGTGTTCCCTCCCTCACATGCACACATCTTGTACAAAGTAATCTTTGTTAAGCGTGCCTTGTATGTTTGTCTCTGCGTGAACAAACACACTGTGGAGTCATTGTTTGCTAAAAAATCCAGCAAAGACCTAGAAATGTGACCTTTTCACTGCCTGAAGGGTTATGAGGCCCTCAAAGCAGCTCATGAACAGAGTCGGTCCATGTGTTGCTTTCTCTACATACACTTTTTCTAACCTGTTTGTTGTAACAGTTTCTCGTTGATTAAAGCATTTGGCTGTAAAAGCAGATATTTTTTTTCTTCCATACCTTCAGTTCATAGCGATAAAGTGGCTGGTTAGATTTATTAGGTTTGGAAATTGATAGGCATGGCAGAGGTAGATATGGGAAGAATGTAGGTGAGGCTGTTATTAGCAGACAGTCCTACAGCTGATCGCCTGTCCAGTCTTGCCTGGTTTCTCCATTCACATATTCCAGGATAAGGTTTTATTATTCCTTTGCTGTGAGTGTTGTGATTTAAAAAACAACTATTTTTAAAAAAAATCTTTGTTTTCTTGTTTCCAGGTTTAAGGGAGTATGTGTCCATGAGGGCCAGCTTCATGCTTTGACTGAGGTAAGAGGAAGCAAACCTGAAACGTTTCCCATTAAAGCACCAGAACAAACTAATGACACCTCTGGTCAAAATGTCTGGACTAATAAAAAGCACTGTTCTTCTGCAGTCATGTTCCTTCTCCTATTGTAGAGTTCTTCTTCCTATTATAACTATCATTAGGTAAATATTTCATTACCCGAGGTCTCAGTCATCCAGGTCATAGTCATTCCAAAAAAGAATATTAACAACCCCCCCTAAAAGAAGGGATGGACCCCTTCTTCTGTTTCAGTTAGCACGTTTTCAAAACAAAAACAAGGTTTTGATGGGTTGAGGTATAAAACCTCGAACTTAACTCTATTCCTGATATTTTGAATTGAAAAAGCTTCCTGGATGGGATGCAAAATGTCTTAAAACTTGTTTTTAATTTTCTTTTTTTTGTGACCAAGGTCACAAAGCTTCGACATTAAAGCCTTTTAATTCTGGAAAATCAAAACAACCAAATGCCCTAAAGAACACCAAACATTTCGCTTGTTTTTTTGTCTGTGAAAAGCTCTGAGAACAAATGTTTATGCAAGATGTCACAAAATGTGCAGAAAAGAAGCTGTCATCTAGCAATATAAACAGATTATTGATTTAATTGTAGGTGAAAGGAAAGATATGGATGTATTTGAACAATTTTGTTAAAATCCTAATTCATTAACAGCAAATGTCAGAGGTTTATAAAGGCAAGTATTGCAGCAGTTGGTGGGATAGCTTTATTTCTTTTTCTGGCAGTGATTGATGCTTTGACCATTAAAGTGAGTCATTCATAGAAAAAATGATTTTTCTGTTAAAACACGTCATTTTTTTCCCTTCTTCAGTTTATTTCTATAGCGCCAATTCACAACACGTCATCTCAAGGCACTTTACAGTTCAACCAGATCATACAGTCAAATAGATTGAAAGTTTTCCATCTAAGGAAAACCAGTTGATTGCATCGACTCATTGGCTCTAATGCAATCCCTGATACTAAAGGCTGATTTATACACAGAAACCAGGTCGTCTGCATGTTTCACAGTGAATGCAAATGTGCCCCCGCCGCTTCCGCAGACACTCTGCTGCACCTTTCAAAAATTGTAGGTGACGGCAGACAGGAGGCCCCTGATTGGTCAAATCTACAGCCCCTCTACACTATGCGTATTTCCTGTGTGGTACCTTACCGGCTTTTTTTGTTCGTATGACCGCCATTGTGGAAAACGACTCCGGAAGATAGACCACCTAGAAGAGCGCGGTGGGCGAGAACGCTTGGACCATTTTCCCACCAGGATCCCTGCTTTTTTTCGCCCTAATATCCCTCCATTGCCACACAAACTTGCCCCCACTTCCTCACCGCCTCGGCCATGTCTAGACCCACCGCTAGTTTTTGATTGTCCCCCTTGCGTTGTGGCGTGGAATAACATGGCGCAGACCACGCTTCAAAATTGAGCATATACCGGTATCATTATATCTGCAACAGGCTCACTGCGACACACCACTGCGGGAGTATAACCAGCCCTTAACCCATTTAGGCCTAAAACGCCTGGAAAAAACACCTTAAAAACCTATGGCCGATTTTAAAAAATACCCCTAAAACCTGAAGTTTTTCTGTAAATTCAGCAACTGT